TCAATCACCCATGAAGTGATGATTCCTGCTGACCACCACTGAGTGGGCCTGGAAACAAGTCCTTCCCATTTGAGCCTTGAGATAACTATGGTCTTATTTAACACCTCTTTCTGGGTACTGGGAATCAAGACCATGATACTAAGAGCTCTACCACAGAGCTACATCCACAGCCTACTAGCTTATACCTTATCTGTAGCTTGTAGGAAGCCCTAAGGCAAGAATTAACTCAGTTCTACCCAGGCTTTTTCCCATAGGACCAAAAGACAATAGGCTGGGAATTTTTGTTGTGTGACACGATCTTGCTGTACTGCCCTGAGCAGCCTGATACTATGTAACCCAGGCTGGCCTCAAATGTACAGCATTCCTATGCGAGTTTCACAAGTGATGGGTTATAGTCATGCACCATCAAACCTAGCTGTTTAAAGCCTCTATATTTTAGGCTGAGTTGTTACACAGCAATAACATACTGCTTTGATATATATCTAGATTCTGTTCCACCTGCCTATCAGAATAGTCACCTCGGTGGGGAATTTTTAATTTTTTTTTAACCATTCATAAACTTTAGTAGTCTTTCTATGTATTTCACCAGATTGTTTTTATGATTTTTCTGTGTGGGGGATTGTGCATGTTACATGTGCCCAGAGATACAGAATCCCCCTGAAGTTGGAGTTAGAGGTGACTGTGAGCCACATGGTGTAGGTGCTGGGAACCGAACTTGGATGCTTTGCAAGAACAGTACACACTCTTAAACACTAAGGCATCTCTCTAGCCCCCAAGATGTCTAAACCTCTAACAGTATTCTATAAAATACTACACAGTTCTCAGTCAGTCTTAGTTATATAGCAAGATCCTCTTTCAAAAATAAAAATAAAAAAAAAATCAAAATAAAAATTCCGTAAAACATCAAGTGTGGGTAGGTGTGATAGTAAAGGCCTGTAATCCCAGCACTTGGAGGTGGAGGCAGAAGGATCAGGAATTCAATGTTATCTTCAGGTAAAAGGGGTGTTCCAGGCCAGTCTGAACTGTCTCCCAAACCCCAAACTGGGGCAGGGAACATTTCCATAACCCAGACTGAAACAAAAACTAAGGATGTATGAAAAAAACCTTATGGCCGGGTGTGGTGGCACACGCCTGTAGTCCCAGCACTTGGGAGGCAGAGGCAGGCAGATCTCTGAGTTCAAGGCCAGCCTGTTCTACATAGTGAGTTCCAGGACAGCTGGGGCTATAGGGAGACCCTGCTTCACAGAGACCAAAAAAAAAAAAAAAAAAAAAACCTTATGGAAGCCCATCACTTTTTTGGGGGGTGGGGAGGTTGGTTGAAACAGGGTCTCTCTGTAGCCCTAGCTGGTCTGGAACTTACAGATCAGGCTGGCCTCCATCATGGAGATCCACCTGCCTCTGCCTCCCAAGTGCTAGGATTAAAGGCATGCACCACCATGCTTGATGTCTGATACTTTTAAAAGGATTTTAATGTATATGTGTGTGTATCTGTGTGAATGAATGTTACATGTGTGCAGTAACCTGTGGAGGCCAGAAGGTGTCAGGTCCCTTAGTGCTAGAGTTACAAGTGGTTGTGAGTTACCTGACATGAGCGCTAGGAACCAAACTCAGATCCTTTGGAAGAGCAGAAGGTGGTTTTAACTGCCTAGCCACCTCTCCAGCCCCCAAACCCCACTACTTTGTAAGCTAATTAAAAACTATTGGGGGAAAAAAGAAAGGAATTTGAACACAGGTCTCTTGCATGGGTGGACAATGCTTCCCCAGAATACATGGGTTATTAACTGAAAATCTCAGTGCTAGGTGTGGGATACTTCTCTGTTAAGTTATTGATCAGGGAGACCCCCAAAACAACACAGGCTACTGCCATTGCTCTTGGCTGGCCACCAGATCTAGATGCAAAGGCCCTCTTACTGAAGATCCGATACACTTTGGTTGTACAACAGAGAGAAATCAAGTTGGAACTGACCTGAAAACTACTTTCCTGCTGATTCGGGGTGTGGTGGGACAGGCCTTTAATCCCAGCACTTGGGAGGCAGAAGCAGGTGTTTGAGGCCAGCAAGTCTACACAGCAAGCAAGTTCCAGGCCAGCCAGGGCTACATAGTGAGTCCTCGTCTCAAAAACAGAAAAAAAACTAAATGCCCCTAATACAACAGTGGGCAGATTTTGCCTGGCAAGATGTTATTGTAGCACGTGGGGTTCACCACTGGAAGGTAACAGCAATGGCTTTTCCCCAGAGGCCTGCATAACACCTGACACTATGAAAACTAGTCCGCAGCAGTGAAGGTTTTGTTTGTTGTTGTTTTGTGACTGGATCTCACTATGTGGGTAACCAACCACTTTGGGGTAGGACTTGAGGACTGCGCCACAGGAGGGAATTCATGTCTGATACACAAACCTGTTCGAAAGCCCATGGCTCAGAGGTCATAGGCCTAGAGGGAAACCTACTACTGCTGTCTTGCTAAGTGAACATGTGGTCAACTGTGTTCTAAACATTCATTTATAAACATAGAGTTGCCTTCACTCTTCAGAGACACTTCACTCTACAGTGCTTAGAGTTAATCCATAGACTCAGAATTGCCCAAAGTGCTGAGAATGAATGTCTATTGAATGCTCAGCCCTAAATGGAACATTTATACCTCTTCACCCCTCAAAGCTCAGGGAACATCCCAGAAGAGGGGTCAGAAAAGAGTGCAAGAGCTGAAGGATGGGAAGGAGAGCTATGAAATGGTGCCTTCTGGACGTGGCAGGGCCACTGATGAACTCATTGCAACTCTGGTTACAGGCACAAGATTAAGCCAAGGGGCTGGAGAGATCGCTCAGCAGTTAAGAGCACTGGCTGCTCTTGCAGAGGACCCAGGTTTGGTTCCCAGCACCCTCATGGTGGCTAACAACAATCTATAACTCCAGTTCCAGGGGCCCTGATACCCTCTTCTGACCTCTGAGGGCACTGTACAACACAGGTACACTTACATACATATAGGCAATACACTCAAAAAATAAAAAATTAAAAAAATTTTTAAAAGACTAAGCCAACAACTTCAGTCAGCATGCCAACAGGCAGCATTAACTGGACTCAATGGATCCACACAAAAGAGGGAAGACATGAAGGGGGAAAGAGATTGGGGGGTGCCTGGGGGAGGAATTGGGTGTAGACATGCTCAAAATACATTGTTCACATGTGTTATCAAATAAATAAGACAACAGATAATCTCCAGCATTTTGTGTGGGCCCATCTACCATTTTTCAGCTTCAGAGACGTTGGCTTGTTTATTCTTTTTCTTTTCTGGTTTTGTGTGTGTGCATGCATGTGCGCATATGTACATGCATGGAGGTCAGAGGGCAACTGCACTGAGTTGGTTGTCTTCTTTTACCATATGGATCCCGGGATCAAATCTGGGTTTCAGGCTGGTGGCAGGTAGCTAGCTGAGCCTTCTCATGGCCCTCTTTTGGGGTAATGGGGTTAGGGGCAAAGTCACAGTCCTATAAACGATGAACACCACCAGGTAAGCACTCTAACAATGAGCTACATCCCAGCCCATGTTTCTTTTTTAAAATATTTTGAGACAGGATCTCACTATGTAGCCTTGGCTGCCTGGCTGGCCTGGAACTCAAGAGAGATCCACCTTACTCTGCCTACCAAGTGCTGAGATTAAGGTGTGTGCCACCAGGCCTGGCCAGCCCTGTTTTTTTGAGAGAAGAGCTCTGGTTAGCCTTGAACTTGAGATCTTCCTGCCTCGGTCTCTCATGCTGGAACAAGGATGCACCACCACATCTGGCTCATCACACTGTGATCCAAGGGATGTGAATGGTCTCCCTTCGAAGCTCTTTGGGTATGAAGCCAGGCAGTTTGCATCCAAGTTACATGGGATTTTAGAGCCATTCACAGAAGTGTGGAATTAGAGAGGTCTTAGAAGTTATGGGCCATTAGCTGGGACCAGCCTTTAAGAAAAGGAGATATTAAGTTCCAAAGGAAAAACTGGAACATGGGCAGGGTTAGAGGGTGGGCTCAAAACACCAGGAACCAGCACCTTCTACACACTTAAGAGTCTGGGAGAAAAAAGGGGGTTTATTTCAGAGGCAACAGAATCAACCAGTCTACCCAGGGCAAAGCTGAGAAGTCAGGAGTATCAACCAAACCAGGCTTGGTGGGATCATCAAGCCTGTAATCTCAGCACTCAGGAGGTAGAGGCAGGAAGATTATAAATTCAAGGTCATCCTTGGCTACGTAGCATATCCAAGGCCAGCATGGGATATAGGAGACAATATAAAAAATAAACAAGCTGGAGGCTGATCTCTGTGAATTCAAGGCCAGCCTGGTTTCCAGAGTGAATTCAGGCCAGCTGTGGCTACAGGGAGACCCTGTCTCAAAAAGACAGACAAAACAAAACAAAACCCCAGTAGGACCACACTCCTACTTTGTGGTTCCATAACTGATAGCTTTGCCCAGTCAACACTAGCCCTGGTAGGCCCCTCAAGGACAGCACTTCACAGCTGAGGGTTCAACTGCCCCTCGAAGTAGAGTTTCTAAAGTCCAGGGAGCAGAGAGCATGCAGCACTCTAACCCAAGAGACCAATCTCTTCACATACTTCTTAGGAAACTAACTTGGAGAAAAGGGCCAAAACTCAACAAATCTGATAATTTTGTTTTCAATGTGAAAATTCAAGTTCATCACCAACTCCTCCTCCCCTTTAAGTCTGAGGTGAAAGGAAATAGACTGAAGGTCTTGGAGCATACAGACAGTGATGGTCAGTTTGTCTCTCCAGTGCTATCACATACTGGTGCTCAGTAAGTGCCCATTACTTCTGAACATGTACTAAGACAGGGAGCAATCTGTCCACAGTCACAGAACCCAGGATCTAGGTCTCCTGGCTGCTAGGCCAAAACTGCAAATAGTATCTGGTTCTTTTCACTTTCCAGTACTTTGGTTTAGGGTGGACTGGGAATTAGTCTTCTCCCTGTTAACAAGCATCAAAGAAAGAAGAGACCCAGTTCCCGGCATTTTTGTACATAGATTTCTCATAGATTTATTTCTGTGTCATGTTATATATAGATCTATTCATATATACCCCCCCCCTTTTATTACAATCTATATTCCCTTCCCCACCAAACTCACAATAGGGGATATAAATCCTTCCAGGATTTCTATAGGGTTTCCTAAGATAAGTATTAAGAAAGAACCATTTCTTAACATCTTAAGAAGCAGCTGTTTTAGGCTCTGGGGTCACTGAAGCAGCAGTACTCCCAGGACCCCAAGAAAGGAGAAAGGAAAGAAAAACCGTAGTGTGATGCAATTTAGGATGAAAGTATCCAGGCACGACCAGAATGGTAGATGGGTTCTGAAACTCTAAGGCTGGGATGGAGGTGGGGGCCCCCTCCCATGGCTGTTCAGATACCACCCAAGGCATGGGGAGGGAGTAGGAACCACAGATTAAGCATGCAAAGGTAGGCATGGCAGAGACCTGTGGATTGTGCTGGAGACAGCAACCTCCAACAGGACTACCAACCAACCCACCCAATGACAGGGTAATGGGCAGAAACAGTGGCCGAGTGCTTAAAGGAAGATGAGAGCAAGCATGGCAGGATGGCGGGACAGGAGGCAATGGAACACATAAGTACCACCAACAAAACATGACCTGGACCGGCCTCCTCCCCTACTACAGAGGGTGTGATCTACACTTGGGGGAGGAGAAGATGAAAAGTCATGGGCTAGTATTATCAGCTGGCCAGGGGCACAGGAAGGCTCTCTGAGGTCTCCTAAGGGGTAGGCAGGCAGGCAGCTGAGACCCCCACATCCCCAGGGGAGAAACAAGTCCTTTCAGTTCGACTTGGACCAAATCTTGGCGCTCCCTCGGAGCCTGGCAAGGGGAAGAGAGAGAAGAGAGAGAAAGAGAGAGGGGATACAAGGGATCCCCTAACTCCTGGAGAATCCCCCCATTCCCTATCCCCATGCAAAAGACTAAAGGAAGTAGAGCAGCCAAGTCCCTGAGGTAAAAGCGGGGTTCCCAGAAGCAAGCAGCTCCCGCCACATGGGCTCACCCCTTGCCCTTTGAGGCTTTCTTGCTGGGCTGGCGCTGGTTGGTGCCCGGTGCTGGCTCTCTCAGCTCAGTCAGATGTTGCTCAGGGTCCTGAGAAGTGGCTGCAGCTGCCGCCGCTGTTGTAACTTTAATAGTTTTTTTAAGGTTGGCAACCTATCAGGACGAAAGGAATGGGGAGAGTAAGGGAGGCTCCAGAGCCTGACAGGTGCTGATCATCTTACCTATCTGCATCAGCCATGTCTCAACCACTGTGCACAGGCCAGGTGCCCGGGCTTGGGAGCTGAAATCCAGCGTGTCCCCTGCCTGCTCACCTCACTCTCAATCTGCTGTTTCAGGCCTAGCTGCTGCTCCTTGTGCTGGTTAGCACGACTCACTTGCTCCTCGATGCCTGACAGTACAACCTCACAGCCCACACACCTGTGGGAATCAGGAGAGACAAACTGTCAGCAGAAGAGGGCTGTGACTGCAGACTCATTCAAAAACACCCAAAAGCCAGCCTAGGAGCTGGAATCTAAACCCTTGGCTGAGCTGGAAACCCGCTATAACAGTATGCTCAGCAACAAGAACCCTGGGATAGGATAAGAGAGCGATAAGTACTGGGAGTGATACAGACAGGCTGGGAGTAGGAACTGGAAACAAAGCAGGATAGGAAAGTCAAGCTTGGTGGCGCACACCTTTGATCACAGCACTCAGGAGGCAGAGGCAGGCAGATCTCTGTGAGATGGAGGCCAGTCTGATCTACATAGTGAGTTCCAGGCCATCTGTAGCTACAGGGAGACTCTGTCTCAAAAATCAAACAAACAAAGCCAGATACGGTGTTGCACGCCTTTACCCCCAAAAGAGGCAGGTGGATCTCTGTGAGTTCAAGGCCAGCCTGGTCTACACAGCAAGTTCCAGGCCAGCTGGGGCTACAGTAAAGTTAGACAGGGATACAAAGAGGAAAAGAACAGAGAAGCCCATGGCGTCATGCATTAGTGTACTAAACCCAGGCTGTGACAGTGACCGACCTCCAGTTAAGAGCTGTTCAAGAGCACCACTGCTGTTCCCTTCCCAAATTATACCCCAACACCTCTTACTACCCAGGCCCCCTCTGAAGTGTTTGAAGAAAGAGCTGGTTTCCGGGTCTCTTGGGCTAAACCTCTGCAGCCCAGTCCTTCCCCTCGCCCTCTTCTCTAGTGAGAAGAGAAGGGTCAAGGCTGGGAGACAAAGTTCTCACCACTCCTGCAGGGTTCGGGCAATGGCACTGAGGTCCTGGCGCTGGATGTCCCGCCCAATGCTGTAGTCAACCTCCAGCCGCTGATTCCGCTGGTCCAGGGAGCCACGCAGGACGTCAGCATACACAGCCTCAATCACAAGATCTTCTAGTTGCCGCACATTCCGCAGGGCCAGGGCCTCCAGCAACACTGCATATGGGATACACTGGGGACCGGGGGCCAGAACAGGATTTGTGGGGTTCAAAAACAGAGAAGGGCTTCCCAGAACCTTCTTCCCTCTTTTTACCCACGGCCCAGACCCACAAGTCTTCCACTCCTATTCCTAAACTATTTCCTACAAGGCAAAACAGAAGTATCCCCACCTCAAAAAAGCCACACACACACACACACACACACACACACACCCATCAACATGAAGAGGACAATCTGTTTCTTTTTGTCTTTTTGAGACAGGGTTTCCCTATAGCCCCAGCTGTCATGGAACTCACTATGGAGACCAGGCTGGCCTTGAACTCACAGAGATACGCCTGCCTCTGCCTCCCAAGTGCTGGGATTAAAGGTGTGCAACACCACATTGACTGTTTGTTTTTTTTTAAATGGTCTTTTGAAACAAAGTCTCACTTAGTAGCCCTGGCTGGATTTAATTTTGCAACAATTCTTCTCTCTCAGCCACCCAAGTGCTAGGCTTGGAAATGTGAGCCACCACACACCAAGACACATGCCAGCCCGGTCCCATGCTTCATCCCTACAGCATAGCAGGGGAGTGTGACATCTTCTTGGTATCATTCCTTTGGCCCTAGCTAAGGTATCTCATAAGATCACACTGATGGCATGGGATTGAGTAATGGGAGTGGTCTAGAGTTATTCTATTGCTTAGACTTGGCCTACTTACAGACTAGCATTTCTTTTGGGCATCTACACTCATAAGCTTGATTTCACCAAAAATCACCAGAAGGACTCGGTTCTAATTAACAACTGGGAGAATGCGGACTTAGGGTACATGACATTCAACAAAAAACTGAGTCCCTTGGGAATACAGAGATATTTCTGGGAGATATATATTTCTGGTAATATATTCTAACAAACATAAGCCCAGCATTTCACAGAACAGCCCCAACTCTGGCTCTGAGGCTTTGTTGGCATGAAACTTTGTATGGTGAATCAAACAGGAACAGCATCGTAATGGCTATTTTGACTCAAAACACTACAGAAGGTTACTTAAAACTTAAGCTGATTGAAAAATAACAACCAAACACAAACTGAGAGGCTGTTCAGCCTTAATGGCTGCAGTAATGGAGTTTAGGTACCTTGACAAAGGGGAGGAAAAGGGAGGATAGGAAGAGGCGGCAGTTGGGTCAAGGGCTGTCCTGGTGCAGACTCCCAGGGACTCACAAGATGGTCTAGACCTCACTGGCTTTGGGCTTACCTTAACTTTGGCGGCTAGAGTGACAACTGAAAGATGTCGAAGTTTATTCTTCTGAGCCTCGGTGAGTGGGGGAAGATTCCTGGCTTCAGCTAGTGAGAAAGGACATAACACTGGGAATCTGGCTTTCAGTCTCTCCTACAAGTTCTCCACACCAATTACAGTCTTCACACTAACCGTATGTAACTAAGTAGGGCATCTCAGGACATTTTTCTAAAGTCTCTCCAGAAATTGCCCTTCTCCCATCTCTATGCAGCCCCTACTTACCTAAATAGTCAGCATAGGTCCCATAGGCAAAGACCGTGAGCAGCCGGAACGTGGAGGCAAAGTCACTTTCTGCCAGCTGTAAGAATGTACGAGAAGTGACAGGAAGTACCTCTCCTGGTACCTCTTGCCTTACCCTGTTTTGAACTCAACCTTCAGACTCCATCTTTCCCAATGATACCGTTCCTGGTTCATCAAGCAGCTTTCACTACATCTTTGACCACACACCTTCTCTTTAAGGTCTCACTTCTACCTCTGGCCCTTTGTTACACTGTACAACTAATTCTACTCTAAATCAGGGTTAAAATATTCAGAATATAACATACATGCATCAGACACTGCAAATTATGTTGTTCTGGCCCACAGACAGTATATATACTAGTTTTGAATTTGATTATATCTTTAAGCATCTGAATCTACAAAGGTGTGCTTCAGCCCCTCCTCATGGGGAGGCTGCTTACATCACCCACAGTATCTCCTCTCCTACCGCTCATCCTGGCACTTGTCCCTGCAGCAATTTCTCCCCTAAGAACACTTTAAACCATGGCTACAGACCAGTATCTGCTACCCCACAAGATCTAGCAGAGTCATACATGGAGTTGGCTCTCTCAATAAACTCTTGCTAAATAAATGACTCACACATTTTTCTCCATTTATCTGATAAGCCTGAAGGGTAAACCCAGCATCTTGTACTTTTCTGGCATTCCTAGACCAGGGGCATAATACTAAACAGACACTCAATGAGAAAGTATTTCTTTTCCTTCATTGTGAGGATATACTTTAGTTTCACTGCAGATAAAATCAGGGACAAAAGAGCAAATTTTCTGTAAACCAGCAATCCAAAAAAGTCCTCTCTCTCATTCAATCATAGGCCCTTCAAAACTTGGCTATTTTCCCTTATACCAGTCTGCATCTCAGGATGCAGGCAGTGCCCCAAGTCTCAGCAATCCACTTGCTCTAAACTTAATGTCTTAACTTTACCATTTCTGTGAATCGTTCTCTTCGCTGTATTTCTAACAGTTCGCCATCTGTCTTCAGGAAGAAGACACCCTAAATGAATCAGTATATTCTACCCTTACGGAAATACAGCATAATTTAGTAAGCACCTTCCATTTGTAAGAGACTTTACACTTTCCCACAATCTTTCATCAATAACAGTGAGGGGCAGTGTTATTTTTTTTTTCCTTCCCCTTTATGTAGTTCTTAGGACTGAAAAATGGGGCCTTATGCACTGTAGGCAAGAGCTCTTTCACTAAGCTACATCCCTATTTCTTTTTGAAAAGGGTCTAAGTTACCCAGGCTTGTTCAAACTTGTGATCCTCCTGCCTTAATCTATCAAGTGCTGGGATTACAGATGTGTGCCACACACCATGCCCAGTTTTATGCAATGATGGGATGGAACCCAAGTCTCTGTGCATGCTAGGCAGGCAGTCTACCAACGGAGCTACATCCCAGACTCTCATCACCTTTTTTAAGAGAAAAATGAGGCCCTAAAATAAGTTTCTGTGATCAAGGTGACTATTAAAGAGATATTACATTGGTGGAAATAGGTTGGAACTAAGGTGTGCTATTCCGAATAACATGTTCTTTTGCTTAAAAAAAAAAATTCTGCCAGGTATGGTGACACACACCTTTAATCCCAGCACTTGGGAGGCAGAGGCAGGCAGATCTCTTGAGAGTTCAAGGCCAGCCTGGTCTACATAGCGAATTCCAGGCCAGCTGGGCCTACAGGGAGACCCTGTTTCAAAAAGACAAAAAGAAAAATTCTGCACAAGGCACAGTCAGGAAGATGCCCACAAGTTCAAGGCCAGCCTGGACTACTAGTGATACCAAAGCCAGTCAGGTATGTATGTTAAGACTGTCTCAAAAACAAAGGGCTAGTGAGGGTGGCTCAGCAGTGGAGAGTACTTACTGGCTGCTCTTGCAGAGGACCTGGGCTCAGTTCCCAGCACCCACCTGGCAGCTAACAACCATCAGACTATAACTCCAGTTCCAGGAGATCCAATACCCTCTTCTGGCCTCCTTGGCATGTAACATGGTACATTTACATACATGCAGGCAAAACACTCATACACATTAAAAAAAAATGGGGGGGGGGCAAAATACTAAGTTTTACAAATCCCTCATCGCAAAGAAAAATGGAGATGTTTATTTGATTGCTTACTTCCGGAAGCTAATCCATAAGTACCCTGTTCACCTCAGTGGCTACACAATGTGCCCATCCATTCTCTGAGGGAAACTTCTGTCTCTCGGTTCTCTGTGGGCTACACAGGCCAGCAACCCACCTCTCTAACATTGGGCATATCCAGCAGTTCCCCAAACACGTAGACACCAGGGGCTTCCAGCACCTGATGGATGAGTGTGGCCAGCGCTGCCCCCTTGGCAGACTTGGCCAGGAGCAGAAACTGCTCCTGGTTCTGCCCTGTCACCTTCACCTCCGCACTCATGGCTGCACTGAGGTGCGGGGCCCTGGTCTCGGAAGGTCTGGAGCTGCAAGGAAAGAAGATGAGACGCTAGAGCTCCCTGAGTACTGTCGGGACGGGAAGCTGAAATGTATCGAACTGGACTGAAGAGACTAAGTCACTGCAGCGAAAAGTCGGAGCTGCAACTGTCTGAAACCAGCTCTAAGGTTTGCCGGCTGCCACTCCCACCGTCTCCCCAGACCCTGGGGCCTAATCCCAGGCCCCACCACGTGCACCCCATGGAGCCCCAAGACACAAGGGGTGATGAGGGAACGGGTGGCACATGGTGTCCGCCCCAACAACTACGCACCCCCAGCTCTTAACTCGTGCCCTGCACGTGCCCGCAGCCACGTGACCTCACCCCCACGGGTGGCTTCGCCCCCTCCTTAAGGAGACTGTGGGGCCCACACCCACGGCCCACGGTGCCCGGTGATACTCTGCGGCCGCTACCTGGACACTTCTTCCAGCTCATGGGGCGGGGCCGCCGCTCCGTCACCTCCGGCAGCTGTCCCCAGCCTTTCCTGCCAGCTTCCGAAGGGTCGCTCTAGCCCGCACTTCTATGGCCAAGTTCCGGCTGCACTTCCGCTGTCACGGTGCAGGTTCCGGGAGGGCATCCTCTACTTCCGCTTTCCGACGGCCGAAGAGGCAGGGGAGGGATACAGCGGTTCTACTTTCCTGATTGGTAGCTGGGCAGAGATGCCAGACGCCTACTTGCTACTTTGTTAATATGGTGCGAGAGCGCGAGGTGCTGCGGGCGGCGGTGCTGGATAGCTCGGTGTCACCTAGAAGCTGCTGGAAATGAGATGCGGGCAGCACGCAGTTCCTGGGATGAGATGGCGCTTCAAGAAAGTGCAGAAGAAAATGGGGAGAGACGAAGAGAAAGGAAGAAATTATTAGGAGTTAGCCGTAGAGATAGTTTGGTAGTTCAAGAACTCACCTTTTTAAAAAAAAAATTTCTATTTTATGTGCATGAGTGTTTTGCCACTTGTGTGTAAGTACACCCATGTCGTGCAGTGCCCACTGAGGCCAAGAAGGCATCGGATCCCTTGGAGCTGGCGTTAAGGGCAGGTGTTTGCAACCATGTGGGTGCTGGGAATTGAACCCGGGTCCTCTGCAAGAGCAGCCAGTGCTCATAACCACTGAGCCATCTCTCCAGCCCCAGAGATCCTGTTTTTTGTTTGTTTGTTTGTTTGAAGTTTATAATGGGACCGTAGAGCTGGTTCAGCGATTAAGGCTTCTCTTGCAGAAGACCAGTGTGCGAGTCTCAGCGCCCACCTGGTGGCTAATCGCCATTCCTAACTCCAGTTCCAGGGGAATCCAATGCCCTCTTCTGACCTCTGCCGGCATTGCTTGACAGGACATGCAAGTAATACACTCCTACACATAAAAAGTTTTAAAATAAAATACATATTTGGGGGGGTCTTTTTGAGACAGGGTCTCCCTGTAGGGTACTGGGATTAAAGGTGCTAACCACCACACCTGGCCATGATAAACTTCTTTCAATCTTCCTAGAAACCCTCTGATGTGCAAATTAATGTCAGATAAGGCCAGACATACTGGTAAATGCCTATAATCGTAGCATTCAGGAAGCTAAGGCAGGAGAGTTAAAAGTTCATAGGAAGACCCTATATCAAAACACAGACACACACACACACATGTGCATGAGAACCTAACACAGAAGTTAAATAATTTGTTGAAGATCATCAGCCTGAGATCAAAGTGCACGTTTATCTGATACTAACACTGTGCTAAAAAAAATTGCTGGGTGTTGTGGTGGCACACACTTGTAATCTAGCACTTGGGAGGCTAAGGTAGGAACTTCCTGGCTTCAAGGCTAGCCTAGACTATATAGTGAGCTCCAGGTGCATCTGGGTTATATATTGGTCTGAGGGAGGGAAGGAGGGAATAAGAGAGAGATGAGAAAGAGTAGAAAAGGAGGCATTAAGGAAAGAGAAATAATCTGAGGTCTCAGCCTGATTTTCTTACACTACTTGTGACCTTAAAGCACATAAGGCTGTGTTACAGTATTTTCTATTCCATATCTGTGAATGAGAGATTAGATATAAAACCAGTTCTGGCTGTCATGATGTACAGTTCTGTGAGAGAAAGATGGAGAACAATTAGGAAGTAGAAACAGAAGCTAGAGAAAACAAGGAAAACAATGTACTAAATACATGAGGTTGGGGGTGGTGAACATGTTTGTGTGGGTATGCATGTACTCAGCAGGTAAAAGTGCATGCTGCCAAGCCTGACAGAGCCCGAGTTCCATCCCTGGACCCACGTCTTAGAAGGAGAGAACTGACTGTCAGAGGCTGTCCTCTGATGTCCACATGCATGCAGTGACATGTCCCTTCCCATGAATGAATGTAATCATTTTATTTTAATTACAGTGATGGTTGTATGGACAGAAGCAAGAAGACCAAGTAGACTACTACAAGTTTGCAGGCAAGTGACAGTGACAACTTGGACCAGGCAGAAGCCAGAGAAATAGTTTGATTCTGAATTTAAAGGCAGAGTGAACATTATTTGCAAGTTGATTAGATGTGAGGTACAACAGGAAAAAAGCCAAGATTGACATCATAGCCAGGCATGATGGCCTGCACCTATATTCTGGGAGTTGGGAGAATAAAATAGGAGGATCACAAGTTCAAGGCCAACCTGGCCTATGTAATGAGATGCTGTCTCAGAAAACAGAACAAAACAGAAAAACCACCAAAGAATAACATCATAAAGACAAAATATACCAAAGTTTCAAAGTGCAGATCATTTAAACTTTTTTTTTTTTCAGTTTTGAGATAAGGTCTCAAACTTGAGATAGGCCTGGAACAGTTGGCCTCTAACTCACAGAGATTGGTTTGCCTCTGCTCCCCGAATGCTGAGATTAAAGGTATGAGCCACCATACCCAGCCTCCAACACATAAATTTGTTTTTAAATAAATGAAGCCTTTTTAAAAAAACTAGTGGGGGCCAGAGAGATGACTTAGCACTGACTGCTCTTATAGAGGACCCGAGTTCAGTTCCCAGCACTCACATGATGGCTAATAACCATCCATAACTCCAGTTCCAGAGGATCTGACGCCCTCTTCTGACCTCCTTGGGTACTGAATGACACAGGTGCATTTACACACATGTAGGCAATGCACTCATACACATAAAATAAGTAAAAAGTAGGGGGCTGGAGAGGTGGCTCAGCAGTTAAGAACACTGGTTGTTCTTACAGAAGACCTGGGTTCAAATTCCAGCACCCACATGGCAGCTAACAACTGCCCGTAACTCCAGTTCCAGGGGATCTAATGGCCTCTTCTGTCCTCCTTGGGCATTGCACAACACGGGTGCACTTACCTACATGCAGGCAATACATGCATACACATAAAATAAAAACTCCATGGGACCCCTGAGGAACAAATCCTCTAACGACCTCAAGAGTAAAAACAAATCAGTTTATCTGGTCCAATTGTATGTCCTTAAACACCCAAAAGGGAAGTATAACCAAAGATTAAAGGGGCCAACATAATATCATAAGAGCATACATATACATAACTAAAAGTTACTCGACAAACAACAAAGCCAGACAGGCGATACCTTCAGTCGAGTTGTTGGCTAGGATAGATAAAGGCTCTTCCAGACAGTAACCCAACATACTACTGGAAAAATGAACAGCAGACCCCAATTCTATCCAAAGGAATACTGACAATGGATTGCCGTAGATGAGGAACAGCTGACCCTCCTGGAACAGGGACCTCTGGCTGACTAGATTTACCAGAAGGGCAGACAGGGGGAATGGATGAGGGTGCTGACAACACAGTGGACAGTGACAGGGATGGCAGAGTATGGAGCCTCTAGTGGGAGAGGAAGGCTGTCTATCTGACAGCCTTGTATTCATGCTCAGATGCCGAGGAGCTCAGAAGGTGGGCGACTGTGACCAGTGATAGTCATGTATATAGAGATTAGAAATGCATGTGAAAACGTCTCAATGTCAATTGCTTTGGAATGAATTCTTCTGTATGAAAAAAAATTAAAAAAAATAATGATTAAAAAATAAAAAAAATTTTAAAAAATATTTAAAAAGTAAAAATTAGGAAGTAATATGTTAGTCAGACTTTGTTTTTAAAGCATTTAATCTAGCCGGGTGTGGTAGTGCACACCTTTAATCCCAGCACTCGGGAGGCAGAGGCAGCCTGTGAGTTCAAGGCCAGCCTGGTCCACCTAGTGAGTTCCAGGACAGCTGGGGCTACAGGGAGACCCTGTCTCAAAAAGACAAAAAAAAAAAAAAAACCCAGCATTTAGTTCATAATACACCTACATAATCAAAGTCCTGGCAAACTAGGAATTGATGGGTGTTCCTTAATTTGTAAAAGTTATTTTTATTTTTATGTATTTGTTCATATAATTAATTTTTTGAGAGAGATTTCATGTAGCCTAGGCTGGCTTTGAACTTTTTATGTAGCAGAGGATGACCTATAACCTCTGATTTTCCTGTCTCTACTTCCCAAGTGCTGGTGTTACAGGCATTTGCTTCTATGCCCAGTCTGTGTAAAAGTTAGTGTTGTTGTTATTATGTCTTTTTGAGACAGGGTCTCCCTCTAGCCCAGTTGGCCTGGAACTCATTATGTAGATCAGGCTGGCCTCAGTCTCACAGAGATACACTTGCCTCTGCCTCTAGAGTGCTGAGACTAAAAGCATGCCCCACCATGCCTAGCAAAAGTAACTTTTAGGGGCTGGAGACATGGTTCAGCTGTTAAGAACACTGATTGTTCTAGCAGAAGACCCAGGTTCGAATCCCAGCACCCACATGGCAACTAACAACTGTCCATAACTCCAGTTCCAGGGGATCCGACAGCCTCTTCTGTCCTCTGAGGGCACTGTACAACATGGGTACACTTACCTACATGCAGGCAATACATGCGTACACATAAAATAAAAATAATAAATAACAGCACTCGGGAGGAAGAGGCAGGCGGATCTCTGTGAGTTCAAGGCCAGCCTGGTCTACATAGTGAGTTCCAGAACAAAATAAATAATTTTTTTTTAAAAAAAATAACTTTTAAAAGACACTTTAGAGCTGGAGAGATTTCTCAGTGGTTAAGCGCACTTCTTGCTATCGCAGAGCTCCTGGGATTGTTTCCAGTACCCCCACAGCAGATGATAACTCTGTAACTCCAGTTCCAGAGGATCTGATGCCCTCTTCTGGCCTCCACAGGCATTGTGTGCATATGGTACCCTTACATACATTCAGGCAAAACACTCAGACACATGAAAACTAAAAATAAAAACTGACTGTGGTGACCCACACCTTTAGTTCCAGCAATCGGGAGGCAGAGGCAGGGGCATCTCTGTGAGAGAGAGGTCAGCCTCCTGGAGAGTTCCAGGCCCTTCAGGGAGACCCTGTCTTTTTTTTTTAAATATTTTATTTATCATTTCCACCCCATGTGTACGAGTGTATTGCCTGCACTCATGTGAGTGCACCCGTGTTGTGCAATGCCTCGGAGGTCAGAAGAGGGCATCTGATTCCCCTGGATCTGGAGTTAAGGACTGTTTGCAGCCGCCATGTGGGTGCTGGGAATTGAACCTGAGTCCTCTGCAAGAGCAGTCAGTGCTCTCAA